TCACTGAGCGAACACTGCCCTGAGAGCGCACGCTGTAGCTGCACTCACACAAAGACATGTAGGAGGAGATGTATGAAGGCAGCAGACCAAGAAGTGATTTAAAGATGAAAATGTACCAGTGAGAGAGTCTGTGTGAAGTTAATGATGACCAGTTAATAGGTTATAGGTAAGCACTAAACCAAAAGGCAAAAGGGCCTTCTCCTACTCTGCTCCTGTTTCCTGGAATATCTTGCAAAAAGATCTGAAGCTCTCGACCAGTGGCTTTAAGAATCTGTTGGACTCCTGGCAAGGACCAATGCAGACATGTTCCTGTTTTTAGTTTTCTACATGTGCCATAGAATCTAGCTGTTTTTGCTACTTTTTTGACATCTTATTTTAATTTGTTAAAAAAAAATCTGTATGTCTCTTTTATGATTGTCTATTGTTGTCCACTGTTGTCATCACTCTTTGCTGAAATCAGGTCTCTGTTGTAAATGAGTCCTCGAGGCTCAATGGAATTAACGTGTGTAAATAAAGGTTGAATGAATGTTGTTTTCCCATAATTCTGCAGTAACCATTCCTTCTATTAAAACACTGAATGGCGATATCATAGAACTTGTAGACACACACATATATCTTGATATTTGGCTGGATAAAGGTATTAATTTTAAACATCACCTTACATATCTAATAAAAAAGCTAAAATTTACTCTAATTTTTTTGTATAGACTGAAATCATGTTTTTCTATTTCTTCCCGTAAGCGGCTTGTAACAAGTTTGCTTTGATCACAGCTGGATTATGGAGACACAGTCTATAGATTTGCCTCCCACACCACCTTAGTTAAACTGGAGTCCATTTACCAAGCTGCTCTGAGGTATAAAACAGGTTCACCCTTTAGGACTCACCAGTGTACTCTATATACCCTTGCTGAACTTTACTCAATATTTGAAGGATTAAGCATTGGTATATTTTCATATACAAAGCCATTTGAGGAGAATTGTCATCATCAACTCGAAGTTAATTTCACTCCAGAACACACAGTCTCGGGGTCAGTAGCTGGCTGAGGTTTAAGGTACCCTTTGTGCGTACAGTCAGCAAAGATGAGTTGTCCTATTTCAGCCCATGGTCTTGGAATGATCTGCAGCTTAAGTTGAAGTTAGAGTCTTTTATTCCTTCAACTAGTTTTAAACAAAAATTGTCTGAGGTTTTAGTTACATCTTGCACACACACATATGTATGTATATAT